GTTTATGTCAGACTGACACAGAGGTTCCTTCATTTAATAGTCCAGCTGATCTATTTACTGAACTGGATTTTTTAGATTAAATAATCAATTCACATCTTCCCATAGAAAGATGAGAAATTGCCTACAGTCCTTTCCTTTACAGTTTCACCTGCTTCAGAGGAGAGTTTCAACTGACAAACAAAATCCAACTGGACATTTTGTGACCTGTGAGGATATCAAAGGGAGCAAGCTGTCTTTTCCTTGTGGAATGAAAGGCAATGAACTTTTGCATTCTTGTGCGTGATAAAACCCAGAATAGGAAGCTTCGGTCACTGTAACAGTCTAGCTAACCTTTCTCTTTCTGAGTCCGATTGTTATCGGACGCAGTCAATGATGTACTGCATTCCTGGTTTTATGTCAGCGTTCCTTAGTTATTCGACGTCTGTCGCGGGCACCGTCAGTTCCTACCAAACACTGAAGAACTGGTGCTGTGCTGCTCTACAGAAAGTCCTCTTGTGCTGTTTCTCAGTCTACTAAGAAGAGTGTGATTAAGATTTCCAAACCCAGGGACAATGGCATCCAGCTAAAACACCCCCACAGGGCTGCCCTGTCCGCAGGAGAACACACCTCTCGGCCAGAGCTCTGCTGGGAGCTCCCCTCACGGACAGCAGCTCTTCCTCCAGCCGCTGCCTTTCCGCTTCCAGGCGCTCCAGTTCGTCTTGAGTGCGTTTCTGCGGAGTGACGAACTGAAGCTCTTTCAAAAGTTCTTCTTTTTCGTTAATCAGCATCAGTTTCTCCTTCTCAATATCCAGCGTCCCAGGCCAGGCTTCACTGTCTAATTTCGACAGTTCAATTTTTAAGTTGGCCATACTAAAATAAAGAGAGAAAAGAGACATGCACGTATTTAAAACTGCCCTGAAAGGCAAACACAAACCAGGCTAGGTCTGGGGTTGAAACACTGTCTGGACCTTACTAGAGAGGGGTGTGGTCCTGGTGAGAGGCCAGGGGGCGGGGGCGGCAGCCCTGCACCCCAGCCCCTGGCCTGACACCATGCTCAGGTGTCATCTGCTCCATTTCCCCAGCGTTAAAATAAGCGAGCACAGCAGCTACCTGACGAACGGGCAAAGGCCAAGTGCACAGAGGCTTCAAAGGCAGAGGCTCTGGGGGCCGTGAAAGGCCAGCCCTGAGTAGCCAGCCCCAAGTGACTGCCTGTGTGGGTGTCTGGGAGGTTTCCCTTTAAAAAAACTGAGGCGACTGATGCCTGAAATGCCACTGCTGTAGATTTTGTTTCTCTGGGTAAAGACGCTGTCCCCTAGTAAAATGGTAGTCCCAGGGCAAGCTGTGCAGAGACTACTAGGCTATTAGCAAGTCAGGGAAGGGGAAGGGAGGAGAGAGCAGGGCGTGGTCAGCTGGTATCAAAGCACAGATCCATCAAGCCTCCCGGTGGCCAAGGAGAAGGGGCAGGGCTTGGCCTCAGGCTCCCATTCTCTTTCAGCTGCGAGCTGGAGCCAGACTGGTGTGTGCAGTGACGCCCGAGCACATGCTGCGTGGGCACTTTGCACACCCATGTGTCTGACTGCTGTGCCTCTGCCCGCAGCCGCTTGGCTGGGTGGGAGTGAGCAGCACACAGTGGGCCTTCACCAGCACGGGCAGCTGGACAGACAGCAGGTGCTGAAGTAAGGGGGCTGGCACAGGAGAGGGAGGAGGAAGCACCGAAGGCAGCCTTCTTCAGGTTCACAATTTTGCCTGACCCCAGATTTCACTCTGTCTACAGCTCCATGATAAATGATGAAGTTAACATCACTCTCGAGCCAATGTGGTTGTCCTGACCACTGGAATCAGGAAACTTGCTCCGTGGCACTGTGAAGACAATCAGCATTGTTCACAAGGTGAACAGCACATGGCTCTTTTGATCATAAGCACAAGATCAGGGTGAACTATGAACACAACTGATACTGGCACAAGGAATCTATGTTCCTATAAGAAAAAGTTGGATGATTACTTTGGATATTATTATAGTGCACACCAGAATATGAAAAACAGATAGAAAAGGGAGAAATTTTTTCTCCTTTTTGATGGAAGAAATTGTGGAAGTGAAGAAAAAAGGTGAACAAAGAACATAATCAGGAACAAAGGTGGAAGCAGATCTACACACTTGTGCCGTAAGTTTCTTTAGTTAAAATTGCCGTCTTATGTTGGCACTGTGTACGTAGTGTGATTCTGGTTTTCACCCACTGTCTGCGTTTATGATAGATGTAACATCAGCTATTCTTCAGCTTTAACTACAAAACCATAAACAACTGTCTCAACATACTAGAAAATTAATCATCAAAATGCTAAATAAGCATGATATTATTAGCTTCATTAAGCACATAAAACAAAGGCTGGAGGAGAAAACAGACTTCAGAGAAACATAACCCGCCTCTTTCCTTGTTCAGATTTGGGGAAGAAGAAGCATTTTCAACATATGCATAAACCCTTGAGATTTACCTTCTCGTCAGCATCACTACTAACTTTAAAATAAAACCCCAAATGAGAGAGCAATGCAACCAAATGGGAAAGAACCATTGTTTTAAGTTCTAATGTGAATAAATTAACCAACTGAACTGGGAGCAACAACGTAATGCAGGAAAGAAAAGCACTTATTTATTATTTGTGTGCATTCGGCAGCTCTTAATTTTTATTTTAGAAAGCATGTGCCAAATCTGGGGAACTGAACATGAAGACGACTTCAGGAGCACCTAGGAAGAAAAATACTGTGTGAGCTCCACATTGAATAAACCGGTAGAATGCAAAGTAAAGCACAAGCTGAGGCTGATCCAAGAGAAGTAGAGTCAAGCCCATAAAACAGCAGGGGCATAAGGCTTGGTTCTCCAAGATGAGTTGTGAGCTATGGCCATTCTGCTCCAGAAAACCATACATAAATCCTGGGCTTTGTCCATAGCAGAACCTGGGAGTTGTGGCTGCTGAAGGACTGGCATGCTTGCAGCAAGGAGCACAGTAGCATCTACGTGAAGCCTGCACAGCACCAGCCACGAAACCAGGAATTGATTCTCCATACTTATTGAAGGGAAGGCATGAGTCTGGGCACTGAGAAGAGGATACTAAAATATAAATAAAATTTCTTCTAACCTCAAGAAATTTAAAATCTACTGGGGAAGGCTGGGCACAGTGGCTCACGCTTGTAATCCCAGCACTTTGAGAGGCTGATGTTGGAAAGGATTGCTTGAAACCAGGAGTTTGAGACCAACCTGGGCAACATAGCGGGACCTCATCTCTACAGAAATGAAAAATTAGCTGGGCGCAGTGTGTGCATCTATAGTCCCAGCTCCTCAGAAAGCTGAGGCAAGAGGATTGTCACTTGAGCTCGGGAGCTGGAAGCAGCAGTGAGCTGTGATTGGACCACTGCGCTTCAGCCTGGGCAACAGAGCAGGACTCAGTCCCTTTAAAAAAAAAATCTACCAGGGAAAATTTAAAGACATTGAAATTAGCTGAGTAAACTGTTGTTCACAATGACTGAGTGACATGGTGCAAACTCACATGGTTAATAATTTGTGGAAGGGAGCTTGGGTTTCTTTTTAGTAAACTGAGGAACCAAGTAATATTAAGGACCCTGGCTACATAGAGGCAAACATTTGTATTTATTTTACTTTGTTAAAGCCAGATTATCTCTAAGAACTATGGCCAATTACTCTTAAATTATCACCATCTTCAATAATAATAGATATACTTCAGCATCTGATGGTTCTCCTTGTGGTAGGAAACCATGGCACTCTGGTGGGTTCTCAGTTGAGCTTTTCATGCTCGTGGGGAGGAACATGATAAATCCTTCTGTTTCCTGAAGGATGACAATGCAGTTTTCCCCAGTGTCTACTAAATAATAAAACGATAGCATTTTTAAGTTCTTAAAAGGAAAATAATGAAATCAAATATATCAGTCTAACCCTCTCCCACAAAATAAGTAACGTATTCTATGTTATAAAAACTGTTTGAGTTAGCACTCTGGGAGGCTGAGGCGGGAGGATTGTTTGAGCTCAGGAGTTGGAGACCAGCCTGAGCAAGAGTGAGACCCCATCTCTACTAAAAAAATAGAAAGAAATTATCTGGACAACTAAAAATATATAGAAAAAATTAGCTAGGCATGGTGGCGCAAGCCTGTAGTCCAAGCTACTTGGGAGGCTGAGGCAGGAGGATCGCTTGAGCCCAGGAGTTTGAGGTTGCTGTGAGCTAGGCTAATGCCACGGCACTCACTCTAGCCAGGGCAACGGAGTGAGACTCGGTCTCAAAAAAAAAAAAAAAAAACTGTTTGAGTCTACCTACTAGACAAGGACAGTGAAATCTCTTACACCTCACCCTAGCAGACTCACAAAGAAAAGGATAGCACAGAAGTTAATAAAAGTTTCTAAGGTAAAGGAGAGAAATAATCTCTCTTCTTCTCCTGAAGTAAGTCAACTGGAAGTGACCCCTAGCACCTTCACAGACATCTGCAGCAGGACTTCCCTTCAAAGCAAAGGAACTGCACTTATTTACCTTAAAACTCCTCAACAGCTATTAAGTCCTGTACTTGAGCCATTGTTGTATCACGTTTCCATCTGAGAAACCAATCTTCTAACTTTTAATGGGAAATAAGTATTGTACAAGCTCAAAGCTTCTTTTTTTCCAGAAGGAGACAATTTCATTCCTGTACTTCTCATTAATTCTCCCTGTTCTTCGGCTTTGAGGGGAGAGAGGAAAAGGAAGAGGGAGCGAACAGAGAAGGGAAGCAACCCTTACATGCTAAAAAACCAAGGGTAACCTTGGTAGGAACATGTGGGGAGTGCCCAGCAGGTGTCGCCATCGGAGTAGAGATTAATTCTGGAAAAGAAAATAATGTTTGAGCCGTAACAAAACAGCTCCCTGTCATTACCTTCTTTTGGCTTCTTCATACTGTAGGCTTAGCCTGACCTTTTCAGCTAAATTTGATCTACTTCTCACTCCGATCTATTGAAAAACAAAAGGGGGGAAAAAGTCAATTAACTCTGCTAATGAATGAAGTAAACTGCTTTTGTTTCTAGGAAGTATAAGTAATTGAAAAACTAGAGAAGATGGTACTGAAATTGGGAAACACCAATTTAAAAAGGCACTTACTTTATAGTCTCAGTAGGGGCAAAACATTTCTTTCAATTTAAGTCTGCCTGTTTTTCAAAGACTTTAACATCACTTTCTCCACACATTAAATTCAAGACAAAAAATATCAGATAAATGTGTCTGGTATCTAAGAGTTTATGAAGAGTGTACAGGTTAATAAGATTTATGAATTGGAACTAATTTCTTTGCCTTTATGAGCCAAAATTTCCATCATTTAGCTTTCAACTACACAAAATATAAAGTAAATAACTTCAAAAATTAATTTTCAAACAGGTAAACCCTACTATTGATCTCTATCCATTTTACTTTCATAGCATATACTTCAAAGAGGAGTAAGAGAATATGAAAATAATTGGAAACTTACTGAAAAGTAAATACCTGCTAATGGCATCCCAAAAGGGAGAAGGCAAAATAATAATAGCCAAGTCACATTATTTTCAAATGTTAGATATCACAAATTAAACATTTTGATATAATCAACTTTGGATTTACAAAAACAAGTTTTCTTGTTAGTTTTAAAAGGCATATATTTGTTTCTCATTAACCTGAATGTTTATTTGAAAGGAGCTAAATTTCTAAGACTCTAAACATAACAGGAAAAAGTTAAATTCTCATGTGTCTCTAGCCTCTCAATAGTGTCTCTGAAGAAATACAGCATGAGAAAGTTTGAACAAAGCTATTCATATGGACAAATCCTGATATGCCTGGCACCTAGACAGAAAAGATAAGGCTATGATTTTTAAAACCAATCTTACAAGAATGAAACACAACGCGCACAGCCAGAATCCAAATCACATATAGCTCCTGTTCCAGTTCACCACCACATTGTAATTAAGGCCCAGCAAGGATAGATAACTTACATCTCCGGAAATGCTTGTTTGTGACCCAGCATCAAGGGTCTGTCTGGAGAGAGATAAATGAGAGTTCACAGGACTAGATCTCAAATCTGGCTCAGAT